CCCCCAGCCCCTCTCAGCATAAGGATCTGCCAGCAGAGGCAGAGCCCACCCCCCAAAAAAATAAAAAACCTCTAGCAAAGCTGCCCCCCACCCACTCACCCCCACCCTGGGGTGCTAGGAGGGCTGGGGATACTTCTGTGAGTGCTCAAGGGATGCAGAGACCCTGAGCTGGGTGATGCTTCTGGGGGGTCTTAGGGCAGTGGAGGGGTCAGGGCTCTGATTGGGGTGGGATAGGGGCACAGAGCCCCTAGTTGAAGGGGTGTCCCCCCAAAATCAGGGCCTGTCACCATCCTGAGATTCCCACAGGGCACGGAAAGGTTTGGGACACGTGAGTCTGCTCCAGGAGGTTGGGGGGGCTGTGCCTTGGGGATGGCATTGAACTGGGAGATGCTGCTGGGAGTAGGTGGGATCTGGGGTGAAAGGGGAAGACCCTAAAACATACCCCTATAGCCCCCCCAACTCCAAGCTTGGATCCATCCTCCTCCCCAACCCTCCTCCTCCCCTCTCCTCAACAAATCCCCTCCAAAATCCCCCCAAATTCCCCTTGCAAACCAGCCCACCCTTGCCCCCCACAGTGAGGGGCAGACAGGACCCTGTGCTCTGTATTTCTTCCTTCTCCCTCCTTCACCCGCTCTTTGTTGTTTCTTGAGAGAGGGAAAGAAGGCAAAAAAAAAAAAGAAGGGAGAGAGAGAAAAAAAAAAAAAAACCCACACAGGAGGAGGCAGGAGCCTATTTTGCCTCCCAGGCAATATTTCTGGAGCCAATCGGAATGCGCACCCACCCTGCCCTGCTCCCTAATTAAAGGCTTTAAGCAGGCGGCTGGGGCTGGAGGTTTGGGCACAGACTCTTGGTTGCTCCTTGCAAAGAGCCCCAGCGGAGGAGGCAGCTCCAGGCACGTCGTGGGCAGCCAGAGCCGCCAGGTTGGGGGGTCCCCACCAGGCAGGCAGCTCCCCCCGCCCCAATCCCAGCGATGAGCGGCTCTTTTGATAAGAAGCTTTCCAGCATCCTCACCGACCTCTCGGGCTCGCTCAGCTGCCATGCAGCCTCCAAGGACTCTCCCACCTTACCTGAGTCCTCTGTCACCGATTTGGGCTACTACACCAGCCAACACGACTACTACTCGGGCCAGTCCTACAGCCAACCCGTGAGCCACTACCCCTACCACCAGTTCAACCTCAACGGCATCGGCACCGCCAGCACCTACTCGCCCAAGTCTGACTATTCCTACAGCCCTTCCTACCGCCAGTACAGCCACTTCAGGGACCAGCAGCTCCCGGCACAAGAAGCAGGTAGGATGCAGAGGGGAGAGGGGTTGTGTCCGTCCCACTGTGCCCTTGGATTGCAGAGGGAGTTGGGTGGGAATGAAGAGGGAGTTGGGTGGGAATGAAGAGGGAGTTGGGTGGGAATGAAGAGGGAGTTGGGTGGGAATGAAGAGGGAGTTGGGTGGGAATGAAGAGGGAGTTGGGTGGGAATGAAGAGGGAGTTGGGTGGGAATGAAGAGGGAGTTGGGTGGGAATGAAGAGGGAGTTGGGTGGGAATGAAGAGGGAGTTGGGTGGGAATGAAGAGGGAGTTGGGTGGGAATGAAGAGGGAGTTGGGTGGGAATGAAGAGGGAGTTGGGTGGGAATGAAGAGGGAGTTGGGTGGGAATGAAGAGGGAGTTGGGTGGGAATGAAGAGGGAGTTGGGTGGGAATGAAGAGGGAGTTGGGTGGGAATGAAGAGGGAGTTGGGTGGGAATGAAGAGGGAGTTGGGTGGGAATGAAGAGGGAGTTGGGTGGGAATGAAGAGGGAGTTGGGTGGGAATGAAGAGGGAGTTGGGTGGGAATGAAGAGGGAGTTGGGTGGGAATGAAGAGGGAGTTGGGTGGGAATGAAGAGGGAGTTGGGTGGGAATGAAGAGGGAGTTGGGTGGGAATGAAGAGGGAGTTGGGTGGGAATGAAGAGGGAGTTGGGTGGGAATGAAGAGGGAGTTGGGTGGGAATGAAGAGGGAGTTGGGTGGGAATGAGAGGGATTTTGGTGGAAATGAAGAGGGAGTTTGGTGGAAATGCAGAGGGAGTTTGGTAGGAACACAGAGAGAGTTTGGTGGGAATGAAGAGGGAGTTTTGGGGGATTGCAGAGGGAGTTTGGTGGAAATGTAGAGAGAGTTTTGGGGCATTGCAGAGGGAAATTGGTGGGAATGCAGAGGGAGTTTGATGGAAATGTAGACGGAGTTTGGTGGGATTACAGACAGAGCTTCATAGGCTTCCAGAGAGAAGCCTGTGGGATTGCAGAGGGAGTTTGGTGGAAATGCGGAGGGAGTTTTAAGGGATGGCCGAGGGAGTTTTAAGGGATGGCAGAGGGAGTTTTAAGGGATGGCAGAGGGAGTTTGAAAGGAATGCAGAGGGAGTTTTGTGGAGCTGTACCCCTCTAAGTGTCCCCAAGTTGGGGATGGGATGTTGTACTGCTGATGAATGTTGGGGGCAAAGCTCACCCCACTCTGGCGTCCCTGGGTGGACACAGTGGGATAGATCCACATTGGATGTGGCATCCAGGGGCTATCCCAGGGGGTGTCCTAGGGGCAGTGGCAGCACTCAGAGTGGGATGACCCTGAGCTGGGGAGGAGGATGACTGCACTGGGACCCCTTCAGCAGCCTCACCCCTGTGCTCTGTGCCCAGTGTCGGTGAAGGAGGAGCCGGAGCCGGAGGTTCGGATGGTCAATGGGAAGCCCAAGAAGATCCGTAAACCTCGTACCATCTACTCCAGCTACCAGCTGGCAGCTCTGCAGCGACGATTCCAGAAAGCCCAGTACCTGGCACTGCCCGAACGGGCCGAACTGGCTGCCCAGCTGGGGCTCACCCAGACACAGGTAAGGGCTGAGCCTCCCCCGACACCCCAGTTCCCAACCATGGGCAGGAGGGATCAGCAGAGAGGGAGTCAAAGCTTTCCTGCTCCTTGCAAAACATGCATTGGTGTGGATTTGGGAGGGGATTCTGCTCCTGGGGAGCATAGAGGAGGTCCCTGGGGTTGGCTGTTTCATGATTTCTCATAGGCACAGGGGTCCTTGTTGTCAGATGGAGCAGATCTGCTTTGCCAGGGGCAAAGTAGAGAGGAGGAAACTAGCAGAGAGAGGGGACAGACCTTAGCCATGTCCTGTGTCCCAGTTTTGGGGTTTGTCCCACTCCCTTTGGAGCTCCATCCCAGACCTTGCTCTGCTCACACACCCCATAGGGCTTGGGGCTGAATCCTGCCCTGGTGCCTGGGAAGGTCCTGGGTCAGCAGCACACCCAGGAACAGCACACCCAGCACATGTCCTGGGAATGTGGGGCACCAAGTTCCAGGTGGGATGGGACACTCAGGATGTGATGCTCAGGACAGGGTGCTCAGGACACCCCATCCCAGCATGGGTTGCTCAGGATGGGACACTCAGGTCAGGGTGCTCAGGTCAGGGTGCTCAGGACAGAGTGTTCAGGTCAGGGTGCCCAGGTCAGGGTGCTCAGAACGGGGTGCCCAGGACAGGGAGCTCAGGATGTGGTGCTCAGGATGGGATTCTCAGGACTTCCCATCCCAGCAGCAGATCCTGATCCCAAATCCCACAAGAGGACAGGGACCTGGGGCTGCACCCTGCTCCTCCTGCCTGGCCTTCCCTCATCCCTCCTCGGCTCAGACTGCCCTATCCTGCTTGATCCAGGCAGAGGGAAGGGATTTGGGGACCAGCTCCCCACCCCTCAGACCCTGCACTGGGGTGGCACTTCAGGCTGGACTGGAAGAGCAGGGATGTGTGGGATGGGTTTGTCCTCCTCAGGAGCCACCCAGATTCGGGGTTAACCCTCATGGTGAGGGTCGTGGGGACAAACTGTCCCCACGGATCTGTTGGTTGGGAGGACAAGGGGGTTGTCACCACTGTGACTCCCCCAGAGCCCTGCCCGGTGCCCTC